TCGAATATGGATATCCGGATATGTCCCCGACAAATATCCGGATATTCTTGGTTTGCGTGAACAGTAACGGTACTGTTCATACAGAACGGTGTTTGGGGTTTGTGGACCCTAGATTGATTAAGTTGAATTTTTGTAATAATTAATCTAAGTCAGAATCTAAGTGATTAAGGGCTTATGGCTTTGTGAAAAGCCTAAAGACATGAAACATAAAGGAAAGACGTTGTCTTTATGTCTTATGCTTGTATGTTTGAATATTGATATGATTGCTGGTCCAAAACAGATTGTGATTCTGCTGTGTTAGGGCTTTGAGCTTGGTTGGACTCTTGGCTTGGATTGTTAGCTTGTAAGGTAAGCTTTCGTGTCTTTGGTTTAGTCATTGTTTGTTCCACCATATCCCATGGGGGGATGGTTTATATGCATGATGTGTTTACATGTTTTGATAATTGAAAATGCTGTTGAGCTTTATGTGCAATGACTTATAATATGTATGTGTTGTTCCACTTAGACGGTAAGCCTGAGTATGTGGCGTCATACAAGACGGTGACAGTGTGGGTGGGTGCAAGTGGCACCTTGCACTAGTGTGGGTAATAGACGTATTCTTGCATTTCTCTGGCCAGTAGATTAGTAACACACATGACATGATTATCTGCTGCATTGCACTGTTTTGGAACTTATACTGTTTAACTATTTTTGGAACTTATATTGCACATGTAAGTGAGCTTGGGGTGGAAGATCCTTGAGGACCCCTTGTCTTACTGAGATTTCTGTTTAGAGATCTCACCCCACGTTTGGGGCGTTTATTTCAGGTTCAGGTAACCCAGGGGTTGAGACCTCTAGCGGCAGGAGGCCGGAGCTTAGCTGATATTTCTGCTTATGTTGTTTATGTTTGGATGCTGGATGATATTTGTTGCTATTATGTTATGAGTTTCATGTTATGGATCTTGGAGCTGAGACTCTGTTGATTATGTTGCTATTTGGTGAGCATGGGGATTGGCTTGACTTTATGTTTTAGTTATGAGTGGTATTAATGTATCAGGGTATTGTCCGGACTACGTGTTGTAGATCCGTGACTTAGATACTCACTTATTTATCTATTGAGATATTTCAGTTAGCTCTTTTTTGCAATTTACATACATGCGATGTTTTTACGAAATGATTAAGTAATCAACTTGGCTAAGTTTAATGACGTCATAATTGAAAAGAAAAAGATTTTTCACACATTTAATTAAGCGTGGCTTAATACGATGACATGTTAACAAACCGGGTATACACGAGATGTTACATGAACAATGACATTTTCCCTTGTGTGTTCATTAAGAAGTCTTTTAATCAGTGGGTGAAAGAAGGTTGAGGAAGCTCATTCCTGTCTAATGAAGAAATTTGAAATGAAAGGCTTCAGTCAAAATAGATCGAGTATTTCCCATAAGGGATTTTCTTGCACTAGTCTAATTATATAAAAAGAATTTTGGAGAAATTTTATATGGACAAGTGTGATACTCTAAGTACCCCAATGATTGTTTGTTCACTAAAAATGGATAAAGATATGTTTTGGTCTAAAGAAGCTAATGAGGAAGGATTATGACATGAAGTTCCTAATATTATCACCATAGGAGCATTATTATACCTTGCAATTTGCACTAGACTTGATATTGCATTTGCAGTAAATGTTCTAGCTAGTCATAATGCTGCCCTAACTCAAAGATATTTGAATGATGTTAAGTATATTTTTTGATATCTTCAAGGTTATATTGATATTAGTTTATTCTATCCACGAGATAGAGATTTTATATTAGTGAGATATTCTAACGCTTACTATATATTTAATCCACATAATATTAAAGCACGGTCTGAAAACGTGTTCTATTGTGGAAGTATTGCAATTTCATGGAAGTATGTAAAGATAGTCTAGTTTCTACTTCTTAAATCACTCTGAGATTATTGTGTCATATGAAACTGCTTGAGAATGTGTTTGATTAAAATCTTTGAAATAACACATTAATATTTCATGTGGTTTAACCACAATTAATTATACACCCACTTTCCTTTTATAGGATAATGTAACTTGCTTTGCATAAATGAATGATGAATATGTTAAGAGGGACAAGATTAAACATATTTCAATAAATTCTATTACCTATATGAACTTCTATAGAAAAGTGAGATATATCCATCAATTCGCTCTAGTGATAATCTTACAGATTGTTCACTAAATCCCTACCTACTTCCACATTTAAACATAAACAAAATAATAATAATGAGAATTTAGATAAAACATACAAATTCAAATTGTAATATAATAATTTTTTTATAAAATTAGAAAAATATTATAAGATGAAAAATTTAAATAGAAAAATGATTTACCTTCTCTCAAAATCATAACATGGTTAAAGCCTATTTTATAGATGTAAAATCGACAGATTTCTCCATTAGTTCATCAAATATCCTGCTAATTTGGTTTAAGCAGGACTATAATGTTAGCCTCGAACTCAAGATCTTTGGTTAAGATGAAATAACCTTTTACCAATTGATGAATGTGCTTTGTGGTATTACAAAACTGTCTATAAAAGTGTCAAAACTTAGCATAACTTGATAATAATTTGACTCTAAACTAATTAGATAGAGTTGAAGTCCTGAAAAATGTTACAAAATCATAGTAACGATAGAAGTACTTAAGACTCACCCTAACTAGATAACAACTTGACTAAAAATTAATCACGTTGGATTTACTTCTTAAAATTTATGGGCTTGTTTGATTGCGGTTTCAGAAAATAATTTTTTAGTTTTAAGAATGAAAAGCAAAAAAATTATTTGATAATGAATATTTTTGAAAAAATGATTGTAAAAGTAATATCTGGTTTTAGTTTTTAGAATAGAAATTAGAGAATACTTTTGACTTGTTTTTGTTTAAGTTTTTAACTTTATATTCTCAAAAGGATGAAAAAAACGAAAAATAATAATTTATTTTCATTAATGGAAAAATTATAGTTATTGAGCCATTCTCATACTTTAGGCGTAAGGATTCGGACACTCAGGCTATAAATTTTCAAATTATTTGTTGATACCCTATCCCATCTCTATCTCATGGATGCATACGGCGCTCCCTTCAACATTCGTGCTCTTATTCCTTGGTACTCATTGATTTTTACTGTCTTTTACCATTATTTTTTCATTCTTGTTTGATTTTATGATTTTGTGCTAAATTCTGTGAGTGACATTGTTTTTATGTAATTGCATATGGAAATTTTTTCAATTATGTCTTACTAGAAGCTAAAGGGGATTAATTTTGTCATTTAACATGAGAAAATTTTCTAATACTACATACTTAATATATAAGTGTGATCCACAAAAAAGTAAAAAGACAAAAAATAAAGATGGGACCTACCTTTTAATTATGTGTGTAACATGAGAATCTTTTCTTATGTAAAATAAAAAAAGATTAACCTTAAAATTAAAGAAAAAATTGAGAGAAGGGATTTATTCTATTTGAATTAAATCTAAAATATTAATGTAAAAACATTTCAGTATTGATTAATTTATATCTTAAGAAGGAAACTACCACTTTCCTTTATGCTTGTATTCAGGAGATTTGATCTCATTATTTTGTTTGCTAGTTTGTAATCAAATGGGCAAATCATTTTTAGATTTCTTCATTTTCCCCATACGCATATAAATATTTTTAAGCTGTTGTAGTCATTTTTATTACAATATTTTCCCCAATTGATATAATGCACCATAGAATAGAATGCTGAATTGAATGATGATGAGAATTAGGGATGGCAAAACATGTTGGGTTGATGAGCGACACAACATGCAAAATGCGGGTCAAAATACAAGTCGACAGATAAAATGTGTCGTGTGTAGCTTTGAGTAAATGATAGGAATTAGTGTCGTGTTATGAGTTGAACTGCGTGTTAATCCGCAAATTTTTTTGTCAAAAAATGAAAAAACTTAAAATTTTGATGATTTTAACATATTCCTTGCTGGTTGCATGTCAACCCGCATATCTTATTTAGTTTTTTTTCTTTTATTTTGAAGTTTTAAGAAAAAAAATCAAAATTTTTATTTTTGCAGGTCAACCTATGTGAACCACGACGGGTAGTGTTTGAGTTTCATTTTTTGAACTGCCAACCAAAAATGTGTCATGTTCGGATTGAACAGTTTGACTCGAGAGTCAAATTTGACACGACACGACCGATTCACTTACACGTTTTGCCGCTCCTAAATTTAATGATAACCTTTTTTTATGGAAAGTATTAATTCTAAATATCATTTTTATAGATTATTTTACAAAATAATTTTCAAAATAAAAAAAATCTAAACACTATCAAATAAATTCTAAATTACGTGTATTTTTCGATCAGGTTGATATCGTGCTTTAAGTTCATTTGACCCGTTTTGATATAACATACTATTTTAAAACAAGTAAATTTTTTTAAAGTTTATTGATAAATTACAAGATTTCTTAACTTTTTGTGTAATATAATACTATTTTTATTTGAATATATTATGTAACTTTTTTTTGTAAAATATTATTTAATTTAGTTTATTTATTTTTGAAAATTCATGACCTTATGAAAAATATTCATAAAAATTGTCTAATTTTTTTTTTCATAAAAACATTAACTTTCATGTGGGTTTCACAACTAAAATCTTTTTGCTCCGTTGCCCCATCATTAATGATGCCCTTTTTTATAATATTTTTTAGCCGTTTAACTAAACAACAACGCATAATAATAATAAATATTAATGTTTTTTAAAAGTTTTTAAATGCCACCTCACCTCCATGTGCAAGCATGGACACATGTTTCACCTAATCCCAATGCAACAAGGGGTGAGACAAGGGAGTCTAAATCACAGTCACAAGAGACACCGCCGAAACCCGCGGGTTACAGTATCACTGTCCTGAAAGTAAAAGAAAAGAAAAATGAACGACTTGTGTGTGTGTGAGTTAAGGTTAGCGGTGATGTGTGTGTCTTCAAGTGTCGTGCATGCATTTTATGCATCTGTTGCTTTGCATGCATACTCTCTCTCCTCTCTCTCATTTTTCTCTCTCTACAGAGTCTCCTCATCCCTTAAATTTCATACATGCCCATGTTTTCTCTCTCTAAAACCCAGGTCAATTTCCATTACCCTCTGGTGATTTCTCTCTGTTCTTCTTCATTGTTTTGGCTCTGTTATTCTTCAGCTTAATGCTCATGTGTCTGTGGATGCATAGATTTGACCAGATAGATAGCAAGCACTGCAAAGTTGGGTTCTTTTTTTGTTCGTGTGAATGATCCATTCCTAGACTTTCTTTTGGGGTGAGACTAAAGTTTATTTTTTTCTGGGTTTTATTTTTTTGTTTGCCCTGTGTTGTTTCATGTGTAAATCTTGAAACTTTGTGTATGGATGTCAATTCTTAAGAATTTTGTGAATTCTGGGTCAAAAGGGTTTATTTTTATGTTTTTTGGTTTTAGGGGTTTTTGGTTTTGATTTTGATTTTGATTTTTTTGAGTATTTGGCAGTTGGAAATTTTGGAATTTTGATTCATGGGTTCCGACATTGGGTTCGTCAATGCTTCGTGCGCCCACGAATGGAAGAAGGGGTGGCCTCTGCGATCTGGTGGATTCGCCCAACTATGCTGCAAGTGCGGGTAAATTTGAGTCCTTTAGCTTTGAATTCTATCTATTCGCCATTTTTGGGGTGATTAGTCGTTGAAAGGGTACTTTTGGGGATTATGGTTTTGACTCGTGTGTCCATTGATGTTATTTTGAATGTTATAGATATTTTTGGGTTTTGACTTTGATGAAATCACGTGGGCTCTTCAATTGGATTTGTAAGGTTTAACTCTTTTTTTTTTTTTTTTTTTTGCTTTTTCTTCCCGGGATTTTCTGGTTTTATGTGCGTGAGGCTAGAATTAGAAAACTGGTCTCGATTTCGTCAGTAGTATTAAGTGCATAATCCAAAGTACGTAGTACTTGTTCTATATATATATATACATTTATGTGTGTGTGTGTGATCATGTATTGGGGTAGCCAGGGTAGGAATGGAAACTGTGAAATTGTTGTTGTTTGAGGATGAGGATCAATGTAGCTAATTTGTGAAATATTTCTAAAGACTGAACTAGCTAGGATGTTCTTGTCTGTCGTAGGGATTGTGAAATAAATATTCTTAATTGTTAGTAGTAAAAAATATTATTATAATTTTTAAATTGTTATCTCATATCATATATTTTGTTGACTAGTTTTTTGGCTTCTTTCTGTGATACTAGATTTATGGAGGAAGGGAAGCGTGACATCCTTGATCCATTGTAAGTGTAACAATATGGTAGTTATATATGCCAATGTGGCGATTATATTGCTTTTTCCCTTAATGTTAATTGTAATAAAGACTTGATTGATTTTTTCTATATTTCATTAATAGTTCTACTTTTCTAGTAAAACTGTATAAATAAATGATTTTTGTCATAGGTTTTTACTGCCAAAAGCATTAGATCCTTTATTTTGATAAGGAACCTGAATTTATGTGATGCACCGACACTAATGTATATATGTCTACCTGACTTTATTTAGTGTATACTTTTTTGTAAACATTTCTCACACTTTGATAGTTTAATTAAATTCCACCTAGCTGCTGTAGTTTTAATGCCACTTTTCCTGCTTCTCTTGTGAAGTCTTTACTTTCTACAAAGATGCATCCTGCTCCTCTAAAGGGTAGGGTGCATACTAGAGAATACAGAGTAAAGTTTAAGTTGTAATCAATAAGAAGAAAATCGTAGGAATGAGTTCTCACATGTCCGTACTTAAAATAAATAAATAAATCTAAATGCTTGTATTTTGTTAAAAACAAACCCTGTTTCCCCCATATGATTATTGATCAACTCTGCCCTTTACTCTGCTAAGTGTACCTTGCACTTTCAAGGATATTTTTCCTAAAAATTTTTCACTAGTTCAAATGGAACTTAGGTTTAGTTTTCATTGTGAAATTTTGTCTAGGTGATGTAATATTTTCTCTCTCTGCTCATATCTTCCCTCTGTTATACTTTTGACAATCTTGTCAAGCATTTTGATTAATATTAATTCATTTATTGATTCTTTATATTTCCTACTTGGAAATCCTTAATGTGTCACTCCATGTGCTTTAGATCTGCCTATGAGAATTCAGTTTTTTGTAATAAATTCCACCGTCGAGAACCTGGTTGGAGGGAGTGTAACTTTTGCAACAAGGTAAAGTGGTGATCTATTTTTATTTAAATTTTATTTAGTCCTCTTTCTCTCCTTAATCATTGAAGTCTATTTGACTTGGTTTGGCAGCCTATCCACTGTGGATGCATAGTATCTAGATCTTTGTTCGAGTACCTTGACTTTGGTGGTATAGGTTGTGTTAGTTGTCTCAATACTTCGAAACCTAGTATGGTAAGTTTAATCTTGATATTTTCCAACTTAAATTTTGGTTTCGCTTTTGTAATTTATGGTTATTTTCTGTTTAATGCAACAGGCTTTATTTTGTCTCATTTGTTGCTAAATCTTGCTTCTTCTCACTTTTACTCATCTATGTCTAAATTTTCATCACATTATTTGATGCAATCATGCAACAGTGGTCACTAGTTGTTTTTTGTGAATACTTTAGTGATAGATTATTGTCTCAAAGAATTTGTTATTAAAATGGTTGCCAGCAATTTAAATGTGCAGTTTTATTTGGCTATTAAATTTATGGGCTGGATGTTAATACTTAAGCTGTGGCATTACTTCAGCAATAATTGATTAGTTGTGCTCTCTTCATTGTTGTGCAAAAGCCCATATTTCTGATACTAAATTTTTGCTCATCATCTGTATGGAATCCATGCATATGCTTGTGATCATATGAAAGACTTCTGTACAAAAATGATCATTTAAGGACGTCAAGCTTTTGCTATAGAGTTATTTTTCTAATTATGTTACAGCAAACTGTTGCTATTTGCTTGTTGGTTCTTTTTTGTGATTCTATACCATGGTATTCTGTTAGTCCAGTTATTTGACAAATGTAGTCAATAATAATTTTGAAGAGGCTCTACTTAGGCATATTATGTTATTTGATTATGTTACACTGTTTCACAGGTTCCTATTATTTGATGTTTTTCTGCAGATGAGGAATGCTGAAAATCGTAACAGGTCTGTTTTATCGACAAAGAATAATGCAAGTGATCGACAGTCTGCTCATTTTGATGGAAGACTTTTTGCTGGTGGTGTTGATGAAGGAAAACTTATGCAGTTGTGCAGAATTGTTGAAGCTAGTGAATCCAGCTGTTGGAATCATGCTCAAAGAGATGGCAAAATTACATCTAGTGGGCAAAACAGCCGAGAAGCGAAGTGTTCATTCAGGGAAGTCGATACTGGTTTTTCAAATGTGATGAAACCATCTGTTCAGTCTTTAACATTTTCTACATTAGAAAATAATAGATCAACATGGGAGATAAAAAACATACAGGAATCAACTGCACAGCCATCTTTGAGTATGTATCTAGGAAACCCATCAGGGAACAGCTCTGTCCCGGCTTCTGCTGGAGAGATTGTAGAAGGTAGACTTGAGGGCAAAGCATCTCCTCCCTTTCTTCAAGGGCAAAGATCTCGCCCTCTATTGCCTAAACCGTTGAAGGTTGGGATTACAATGAATGCGGAAACAGATAAAGGCTCAGTTTCTCAAGCACGTATTGCCCGGCCACCAGCTGATGGGAGGGGCAAGAATCAGTTACTTCCTCGATACTGGCCCAGGATTACTGATCAAGAGCTGGAGCGATTGTCTGGGGAGTATCCTTTATATTTTTTATTTTGATCTTCTTGAACATCTATAGTAAACTCTGATAATATAAAGTTGATATAGCAGTAGTTTCCCTTAATGTTATGATAACAGTTTGAAGTCCACTGTAGTGCCATTGTTTGAGAAGGTGTTGAGTGCTAGTGATGCAGGTCGAATTGGTCGTCTGGTTCTCCCAAAAGCATGTGCTGAGGTACATTTAGCGTTTTAAATTTCTTTATTCCTTGTTTTCTTTGCTTGCTTTGTTATATCCCTCTCTATGAGTCTATAGAACTCTGTTTCCTGCAGTTTTTTTTTTTTTTTTTAAATTAAAGAAAATATCTCTTCACCCTGTAATTTCTGGACATCTTACAAACTAGCATATGAATTGCAGGCCTATTTTCCTCAAATTTCACAATCTGAAGGTCTTCCTTTGCGGGTCCAAGATGTGAAGGGGAATGAGTGGACATTTCAGTTCAGATTTTGGCCTAATAACAACAGTAGGATGTATGTATTGGAGGGTGTGACCCCTTGCATACAGTCCATGCAATTATGTGCTGGTGATACCGGTAAGCATCAATCTAGGGAACAAATCTTGCACATACCTATTGCTTTACAATTTTGCACTTGTATTATGATTTATGTTAAATTTTATAAAATCTGCACTTGTTTTAATAGTAATAAATCCTTTTATAATTTCATTTAGCCAAAAAATCCTTAAATTTAGATAGGCTGGTTGTGTGTTACGGCTAATATTCTAATGATTTTAAGACAATTGGGAGAATTAATGCCCTTACAGAATTGAGCCATTGTATATTATTTATTGTTTACTATGTAGAGTCAAACTAAAATATAATATTATGTCTTGCAAATCTGAAGTTGCTATTCTTTTATGTGATATTTTTTTTGCAGTAACATTTAGTCGGATAGATCCTGGGGGCAAACTTGTTATGGGTTTCAGAAAGGCATCAAATTCTATCGATACACAGGTTTTAACACAATTTTCCATTTTACGATCCGTGGCCTCTTCTTTGAATGATACATCTTTATTTTTTCTTCTGTTGGTGAATATGATGAATGATTATTGTTTCAATAGGATGCCTCTACATCTGCACATTCTAATGGCATTTCAGTAAAGGGAACCACCTTTTCTGGTGGAACTGACAATCTGCCATTGGGAAGTAATTATGCTGATTTTCTCCATTCGATGAAAGGGAATTTGGAACCTATGTTAAATGGACATGCAGAACATCTGCAGTTGGGTACTGGAGCTGCTGGTTTGCTTAAAATTGAAAATTGTGAGATGACAAACAATCATTCACTGCAGCAACAGATTTCAATTTTAGAGAAAAAAAGGACTCGCAATATTGGGCCAAAAAGTAAGAGATTGCTCATTGATAACGAAGATGCTATGGAGTTGAGACTTACATGGGAAGAAGCACAGGACTTGCTTCGTCCGCCTCCTTATGTCAAGCCAAGCATTGTCACAATTGAGGACCAAGAATTTGAAGAATACGATGTAAGTGTGACAATGTCAAATCAGTCTATAATTTTATTTTTAGGTTAGCTATTGTGAGGTGTATATTTGTAAAGAACCTTGGGATACACCACCCCAAAAGCTAGCTCAAAGGGTGGGAGTGCCCAAGACCTTATAAACTCTACATTAGTTGCACATACAACCAATGTGGGACTATATATCTCAACATGCCCTCTCACACGAGAGCCCATTGGGCTTGAAGAGTGGACAATGCAACAGGCCCAGCCTACCTGTGCTAAGAAACATCACATAAGAAAGTGGAGGGCGGCGAGGCTCTGATACCATGTAAAGAACTTTGGGATACACCACCCCAAAAGCTAGCTCAAAGGGTGGGAGTGCCCAAGGTCTTATAAACTCCACATTAGTTGTACATACAACCAATGTGAGACTATATATCTCAACAATATGGACTGATATAGTTTGAAGCATTATGTTCAATTTTCTGTTACCTGGGTAATCTATGTAACATCTTTGCTTCATTTCATTTAGGAACCCCCAGTTTTTGGAAAGAGAACTATATTCAGAGCCTGTTCATCTGGGTAAGATTACAAACTTTTTGCATATTTAGCATCATATTTGGTACAGAAGAAAGTCTTGACTTGCTACTGCTTGTTTATCACTTGGTCTTGCCTGTTAATTTGTTCAAACAGCTGACAACAGTTTGGTATTTTCGTGGATCCATGTCTGTTGTCACAAGAATGGTACTTGTATCAGAATTAGGCATTAGATTTTATTTATGCTTCATGAGAGCATTTGCACTTGTCATATTGATGTGGCAGCATATTTTGCTTGTGCTTGAATATATAAACAATTTCATCCAGGGGGAAAGAACAATGGGCTCAATGTGATGATTGCTCCAAATGGCGAAAGCTGCCAGTTGATGCTCTTCTTCCTCCCAAGTGGACATGTTCTGAAAATGTTTGGGATACAAGCAGGTGCTCCATTATTATTATTAGGGAAATGTGTTTCTCATGTTACACGAGATAATTTGTCTCATGCAACACACACAAAAGTGGATGGGATCCACTTTTTTACTTTTTCTCTCTCCTGCTTAGTGGGTCTCATATTTTTTTTTGTGTTGCATGAGACAAATTGTCTCATGCAACATGAGAAAAATCAAACCCTTATTATTATTATTTTATTTTTAATCCACCTCTTTATATGAGATAGTGATCATATGATTTACGTTTCTTATTGTGGACATTGTTTTTTCAGGTCTTCGTGTTCTGTACCAGAGGAACTGAGCTCAAGGGAATTTGATAATCTTCTGAAAACAAGTAAAGGTATGGTCCTGCTATCTTTGTTTTAGATAAGCTCTGCGTCTGTCATGTTTGAGACTGGGTTGTGGTTGATGTTGCTGTTACTGTACAATTGATCGAATGCTCATAATGCATTACGAATGCATCTATGCAAGTTCTACATTTCATAACATTATCTGGATGTGTCAAATGATGTCAGCATCAGCATTAGTTCTTTGCTTGCTTGTCTGTGCATAGATTCTAAAAGCTTGTTGGCATGGACGTTGCTTGGCTTCTATATAATTGTGTATGTAATGAATAAAGTCTTTCATTTTTTTTTTGCACACAATGTTTGTATTGGCTATTCTTGGTGGTAGAAATCTCCATTGCCAGTCAGACATCAATTCTACTTCCAAATAAGTCCTCCTTTACTTGTGCCTTGCATTTGTTCTGGTTGCCGGTTGATTGGATTCAACTGTTGTATTCTATTTGTCCTTGATGGTTAGTGTAATAATCCCTGAATCTTTCTGGCTGTGCTTCATGTTTCCCAGATTTTAAGAAGCCGCGACGAATTGTAGAAAACGGCAAGTTGTCAATCCAAGAACACGAGCCTTCTGGCTTAGATGCTCTTGCCAGTGCAGCAGTTTTAGGAGAAAATCTTATTGATCATTCTGAGTCATCAGCTGGGGCCACAACCAAACATCCTAGACACCGTCCTGGTTGTTCTTGCATTGTGTGCATTCAGCCCCCAAGTGGAAAGGGTAGACATAAGCCAACATGTACTTGCAATGTGTGCATGACTGTGAAGCGCAGGTTCAAAACCCTTATGCTGAGAAAGAAGAAACGCCAATCAGAACGTGAAGCAGATGCTGCTGCTCAAAAAGATGATATTCACCAAAGAGATGAGACAGTTACCAATGATGCTTCAAGAGATGATGATACAAGTCATTTAGAGAAAGAGGGTGGACTAAACAGAGATCAACAAGAATTGGGTGAATCCAGTGCTGGACAGATAGACCTGAATTGTGATCCCAATCGTGAAGACATGCATGTTGATATCACAGGACTTTGCATGTCTAGTCATCATCTTGAAACAACAAACCTTCCTGTAAGAGAATATATGAATCAAAATGGCCTAAGAAGCTTTGATAGCGAACTGCATTCTGGTCAGCATTCTTCCTTGCACACTCAATCTAATGGAGAAGGTCAGAAGTATTTCTCTGATGAAAGATCCTTTGCATCCATTGTCTGGAACCAGGAAAGAAGAGATGAGGTATACAATCATCCCAATCAGAGTCAAAACAACCTTTCTTAAACAATTTATTTATTTTTATATTTCTCCTTCTTGCACTCATATTATACAGTATATATATATATATATATATTGCTTTCTTTTTCAAAAGGGGTGGCCAAAGATAGGTTTTTCATATCAAAAGATTGTGATTTTGTTCTCGTTTATATTTTTAGTATTTTTCTTCATGGAAATGGGTCTTGCACATTTCTTTCTTGGACAATGTATTTGTTTGTCATTTATAAGAATGAATTATAGGAAAAAGCATACCCAGTCAAGCGTCTGTTTTTCTCTCTGCAAATCTTGATGTTTATATTTTGCTTGGTGTAGCGCTAAGTGAAGATTCTTTGTAATAATTAATTATCAAATTGACCTTGATTATAAACTATTTTAAAAATTTAACCTCTCCAGAAAACATAACAATCTGCCCATGTTTGACCGTTGACCACAAAGCCTACCCGTGTATCACTCTCCCTACTCGGGTATATTTTGAAATTTTTTACTTACCCGAGTAGGGAGGGGGATATCCGGGTATATTTCTTGAATTTGAAAAATGTTTGAATTATTTATCCAGGTAGGGAGAGTTCTACCCATGTATATTTCTTCAAACTCATTTATTCTCCGACAAGTCTTTGGATGAAAATCAAATAAATGCAATACGATTAAATGGTCTCAGTGATCAACGAACAAGAATCATGCAAGTGCCAACGAATTAGTTGAGGTTCAAATTACATAGTCATAAGATATATCATATATTCATCTTACTGGGTATAAAAATAGAAAGAAAAAACTCGCAATAATATCAAAATGGATGCGAGCCAAGCAAAGGAGTGCGAAAGCTCTATATGAGAGAAGCCACACTGGATTGAGATTTCTTCAACGAGGAATCCACAGGTGATTGTAACTCAAGGACTTTGCTTTGGCCTTTAGAATGTGCATCAAAGATATTATGACCGAGACAATGAGGATCAAAGCACAGACAATGACCTATAGCCCTCACTGTCTTCACCATTGCTCAACATTGCTCAAGAGAACACCCAAGAGATGGACAGAATCCAAATTGAACATTTATCTCTAGTATGATTATTTACTCGGGTATCACCCTCCCTACCCGGGTAAATAATTCAAACATTCTCCAGATTCAAGAAATATATCCGGATATTCCCCTTCCTACTTGGGTAGGTAAAAAATTTCAAAATATACCCGGGTAGGGAGGGTTATACCCGGGTAGGCTTTGTGGTCAACGGTCAAACAGGGACAGATCTGTGTTATGTTTTATGGAGAGGTTAAATTTTTGAAATAGTTTATAATCAAGGTCAATTTGGTAATTAATTATTACATAAGGGCTACAATGGTCAAAAAGTCCTTTACAACATAAGATAACTATCTTATGTGAAAGGAGACTAATAAAACCCATATTTTATAGGGTTTATTATTTCTGTAGGAGATAAATTCATTTTCTACACACATAAAAGTTTGAGAGACTTATATTTTATATTTCTCTTTCTTCTCACAATAGCCCATATGGGATTCATATATTTTTATGTGGGGTCAGGATAATTTTATTCCAGTGTAAGTTACATTCTTAATTTGATCTCACTTATATCTAAGGGCTCTAATTTTTCAGTAATGTGAACCATTGGATACAAGTGGATCAATGGTCAATGTTTTTCAGTAATCATGTTATTGAGTGTAAGACTTCTAACTCTTACATCAGTGTAAGAATATCCTGTCCCTTTTATGTGTGTATAAGAGATAAAATTTATCTTGTATAACATGATGTACATTAACCCCTACTTTATAATTGCCTAGTGATCGGTAACTTAGAATTCTTATAATGCTGTATCTTTAATTTCCATTTGGTGTTTACAATTTTATTTGACAATCCCTGGTTTTGTCTCTTTATCATAATTATAATTGGGATGTTATTTTACTTTATTTTTTTTATTTGTCTACTTTTGTCTATTGCTTTTTAATATCGTTAAATCAGAATCTCAACTAATCTTTATTTTTCTGTCTTCTTGTAATTAGGCAGAGATAGACAAAAAAATGGGTAAAATAACGTACCTCATTATAATTAATTTTTTTTTTTTTATGAAATATTATGAATGTTCACTTTTTAAAATTTTGAAGATTCTTTTTAAAATAAAATTTGGTATGTTGTAGTTAAGTCAAATTTTATTTAGTTTTAAATTTTAAAAACGTTAACGTATTATATTAAATAAAACTAGATTGTTATCCCAATACAATCCAAATTTGTTGTCGTCATACCTTTTTTTTTCTCATTTTCAACTCTAATCTCGTATGAAATAGGATCTACAGTTCTCCTCAGCTCGAGCATCCATTTATTTGGGTTTTTCGAAAAGAAGGAATCCCAGTTTCATACTATTAAAGTTTTGAAATTTGAAATCTTTGCACGAAGAGTAGGCGTGAGTGTTCTGTGTTTTTAATGAAAAAAAACTGTATTGTTGCTGGCTTTTGTAGTAATGTATTAATTCACATAAATTTTTTATTGTATCCACTGTTGAATGCAACGAAAATCTCATAGCTGAAAGTGTAATTCCAAAATTATCGGAGCTAATTTGTTTCAGGGGTACATTAGTGATGCAAGCACTTGGGTGAGTAAAATGAACATTTTAACACCGTCATCATATTCAACTCTTAAAATACTTTCGTTTCTAATAGAGATAAATTTCGTCGGTTGGGTAACTATGTTCAAATGATTTGCAGCGTATTCAATTATTCTAATTCTACAATCAAGGGACAAGGGAAATGGATGTGAGCTTATTCTACTTTTGTCACTAGTAGGGCCCATCTCATCAAACACTGAATTATATTAAATTGATAAATAATTTTTAAAAAACTTGTTATGAAATATATTTATGGATGTTTCGCCTTATTAGTGTAACCACTTGTATAAACAATTACTCTTCATATGCATTTTATAAACGAGTACTATTCATGGGGAACTGTCCATTCACGAGATTACTGTTCATGATGGTACTTTTAGATTATTATTCTTGCAAACTGTATAAGTAGTGAAATTTTGTTTCTATAAATACTCCATTGTTCTATAAAATGAAAACCGAATACATTTTCCTTTTTTATGGAATTCTCTTACTTTTTCTTATTAATACTGCACTGTTCTGTAAAATGAAAACTGAATACATTTTCCTTTTCTATGGAGTTCTCTTACTTTTTTAACAATTTTATAACATGTTATTAGCATGATTGCATGAATCAAACTAAGAAATTTCTACATTCTTACCCTTACACTTTCTCTCTCTCTCTCTCTCTGTTTCTCTCTCTGGAACTGGTTTGATTAAGCGTGCACAGAGAGGGGCTTGACACGCGTCCGACAAGAAAAACAGAACGAGATCTGAATCTCCTTCATTCTCTACACTTGTATACTCTTTTGTTATTGCTTGTGCAATTCTTAGTTTGTTCTGTTGTTTTATTTTTGGTTCAAAGTTTTTTCTTTTTTAGTGCATTGGTGGGGTATTCATCTTTCATATAGCTTTGTTCTGCATATGCTCTTAACTTTATATTTTATATTATAATATAGTTTTGATATAATATATTTATCTTTTACTAAAAGTTAAACAAGTTGATAGCGGAGAGTTTTATTTTCACTTTGCAGCTAAACTTAACATTGGATAGTTTATCCCATGTCATTGTCATGCAAATTATTTATTGTTTCGCCACCCACGTCAAAAATGTCATCCCAGTCACATAAACCATATATTAACAAGCTTATAAATGGAGAAAGAAAGCAATATTTTACCAATAACAATCTTATACTCTACCTACATCAAATATTATACTACTTTACTAGTTTACTAAAATATTTTTTTTATAGAAGTTGTAATTGGTGGGGTTCATTTCTCTGTTGGCTTGCCTTTGCCTTTTTCCCTTTTCTTGTGCTTTACTCAATTTTGGTTTGCATATCGCGTTGGATCTGCATATTATTTTATTTTTTTCATCACATGGAATTATTAATAGCAGTGATGAAATGGAATGACTATTTGACAATATAAATCCTCCTACTTATGAAGTAATAATGAGTGCCTAATGCTCGTGAAATAACAATGAATATTTGATAACAGTCCTTATTATTAATTTAAGAATTTTTCAGTATAGTGTTATGTCAAATGTTGAAAAGCCAAATTTTTTTATCCTTAAAGTGAGTAAAAATAATTATAAATTTTAGTCTGTTGGTTCAAAAGTATTGCCTGAAGTAAATGCTAAATCTATGAAAGATTCTAGCTATTTTGAAGGCTATAAGCATAAGTAATGATATAACCCCTAAAGGGATGATAGAAAATTCAATATTGGGTCAAATCATGAAAAGAAAAGTAGTCAAACGAAAGTGGTTAATGAAATAAATATGGCTAATTAAAATAATGGCGAGAATAATGAATTTCACGTTGTTGAAATATGCCTACATTATATACATCCTTGGAGGATTGCACAAAATGAATGTTTTTTTCTTGGTCATGAATTTTATGAATATATGTGGTATAATTCCTAAACAACTATAACTCCAGACCATGATAGAAAAGAAGGTTTCGTAAAGTTTGGTCAATGGATTAAACCATATTCCCTGAAGCGAATGTTTCAAACTATAATTTTAGACATGACTAAAGGCTCCAAAAGAGCTTGTATTATGACTAAGACAAGTTTTACTAACTTGATTGAATGCTCTAGAAGAGCATATATTATGTTACCTTGAGAAACAAACAAGGAACGAGATAATCTCTCCCACCAGGAGCATGCCAGTGAAATAATATTTCTTCATAATTTCTATGATGATCTTAAAATCAAATGTTTTGTTAAAAAAAAGTCAAATATTTATGGCAAGAAATTCATTAGATTTTGCATAATCTTAACCAATTTCTGTGTCATTCCTTGAAGTTAATGCAATACAATGCATATATGGATATAGTCGTGGGCATGTCTGCAACAATATTTACAATAGCTCTAGAAGAGCTGATTATTTGTTTAAATGAATTAATTTAATGAATTATCCATCCAGTTATATGCCCAAATGACTATGAATATGCTTTTAAGCATACTCCCCTCTTGAACTTATATGTGGATGCGAACCTGATGTTTCACAACTGCGTATTTTTG